GGCCAGGAGCTGGGCGGGGCCAGAGGGTGGGCGGGGCCCGGAGCTGGGCGGGGCCCGGAGCTGGGCGCTCGAGCCCCGGGGGCAGGCTGTCTGCTGCTGAGCCACAGAATTCCTTGGCCACACGGCCACTCTGTTCAGGGACCAAGTTCCTGGCGGGTAGGCCAACGATCGCCTCTACCCACGACGCCCAAGGCCGCTGGGGACGGGGGTGGACGTCACGCTGGCCACACGCACGGCTTCACGCTCGAAAGGCGCCTCTGGCCCAGAGGCCCATGGGCTTCGGGACCAGTGGGCCTCTCTGCTGGGCCCAGACCCAGCGCCTGCCGTGGGCAAAGTCCCCAAAGCCGGTCGGCAGCCCTGGCCTGCAGTGTGCCGTCCGGAAAGCAGCAGCCGGGCCACACCCCCGCCCCCGCCAAAAGCCAGGCTTCCTCCGCAGCGGGCAGTGGCCCTCTTGGCCAGGGTGTCCACCCGTGGGCTCTGCCCAGCCCGTGGCTGGCCGCTCCCTGCTCAGACTCCTGACTCACTGGGCCCGACGTGCAGCCCCGCGGGGACCTTCTGCTGCAGTTCCAGCTGGACGGGTGACCCGCCATGGACAGGACGCACCACACGGCCTGGGGCGACGCGGCCTCCGCCCTCAGTGAGACCCTCAGAGGCCGGGCCAGAGGCCCCCGGGCGGCGCTGGGGCAGCAGGCCTCCCGAGGACCCCAGCTGCCAGACCGGCCTGGCAGGGCCCGCGCGGCGTGGGGGCGGGGAGTCAGGCTTGCCGCTGTTCCCGATGCTGAAGTGGCCGGTCCTCACGCGGGGCTGACCTGTGCCCGAGCCAGGCCACGTCCCGCCCAGGACAGCGGGTCCTCGGCAGTGGCCGTGTGTCTCTCAATATCCTTCTGTTTAATGTCAGTGAGAAAAATCAGTCGTTCCAGCAAGGCCTGTGGGGGCCTCCACTTGGGGGGTCCCAGCCTCGGGGAGCCCGAAAGAGCAGGTACTGGCATGGGGGGCCCTGCTCAGGAGGCCTCAGCTTGGGAGGGGCCCGGCCCCAGGGGCCAATATGGGGGGCCTCAGCCTGGAGAGGACCTGGCCTCAGGGGGCCACTTTCGGGGGGGCCTGGCAAGGGGGAGACTGCTTGGAGGGCTTGGTCAGGGGGCCTGGGCCTGGGGGAAGCCTGGCCTGGGGTGCTGTCCCGCCCCAGAGCTGCCAGGACTCTGACGTTTGCGACTCGGACTGGCCCCAGCAGGGCCAGTGGCCAAGGTGGGTCTGTGCTGCAGCCCCAGCGCTCTGCAGAGGGGACCTGAGGGGCCCGGGACTGCCCCCAGCTCCTGCCGGCCGCGCCTGCCTGGGGCTCTGAGCAGGGCTCGCAGGGGCGTCCGCCTTGGCCTGACTGCCCAGCTCTCTCCTCCAGTCTCCGGAAAAGCCAACATTCCCGTAAGTTCAAAAAGCCAGGAAAGCGCCTCTCGGCTGGGGAAGCTGGGCTGAGCCGGCCCCGTGGCCAGGAGCCGCCAGCACCTTGCTGACCAGCGCTGCGCGGCCGCCCACTGGCCGCCCCTGGAGTCCCCTCCCGGCCGCCGCCCTCCCTCCCTCCCCCTCCCTGGAGCAGGGGCTTGGACCTTCTCCGGTTGCCACAGAGCCAGTCCCTGGAGAAGCTGCTTAAGACCCATTTGAAAGAGAATATTAATTTTGTTCCTGGAAATAGTCATGAGTAATACATTTTTGGGGGCTTCGCAAAGCACTGTCCAGAAATGCGGCTTTCCCTTCCCGACGAGGCACTTCGAGGCACTTCTGACACGGATGCGCTTCTCCCAGCGCCCTGGGCTTCTGGAAATTTCATATGGCACGAGAGCGGGGGTGCGTCCACTCTCGGCACGACCCTGATGTCTTGGATTACAGTTAGGTCCCGCAGAAAACGAGTTCTAGAACTTGCTGGCTTAAGGCTGGGCCTCACCCCGCACAGACTGCCCGCGCCCTCAGCGCCGGCCGGCAGCGGCCGGGCCTGCCCGGGCGTCCAGGGCCCTCTCCCAGCCAGGCCTGGCGGTGGCCGCTGGCTTCCGCGGCAGGGGCAGGAGCGCCGCCTGGACCGGGCTGACTCAAGACTAAAGTGAGAGCTGCGAAGACTTGTAGGCCGTCACGCTTTTTCCAGATCGCCCGTCCTTCTTTTTGAAACTGAAAATGCACTTTCAAATTGCGATCGAAATGAACAACAGCTGCAGAGGCGCTGGGAGAAGCCGTCTGGGCTGGGCCGCCTGGCCAAAGCTGTCGGGGCTGCAGCCGGCGCCCCCGCCGCCCGCGCCGCCCCGGCCCGTGCAGTGGTGGCAGAGGATCTCCCCCTGCGGGCCCTTCTTCCACATAGAGGACGACGTGGTCTTGCAGACGCTACAGGTGGGCTTCAGGCCCAGAGGCATCGTGGCCGGTTCGGGCGGCCCCCGCGGGCGCAGCGACACAGGAATGGCTACCGCCGGTCCCGGCCGCCCACTGGCCGGCCCGCCACTCTCGGCGACAGGAAAACGGCGCGAGCGCCGAGTAGTCCACGCACGGACCAGGCCGCGGCCCGGGACCCAGCCGGCAGGAAGGCGGTTCCGGGAGCCGGGAGGCGAGGCCAGGGCGGGGCTGCCCCGGAGGGGACGTGGTGTCGGGGCTCTGGGCTTCCGCGAGTGGGCGGAGCCGCGCCGCGCAGGCCGCCCGCCTGACCGGAAGTGTCGCCAGGAATTCCTCGGAGCGCGGGGCTCTCGAGCTTGCTGGCCCTGGGCTGTCGCTAACTGAGCTTTTTGGCTTCCCACCTGGGGTTGGCGGGTAAACTACGGGGCTCACAGTTAGATTTGAATTTCACAAAAGCAACGGATAACCCTTTAGTGGGCGTGTATTCCACGCAATGTGTATTACTTATGTGAAATTAAATTTAACTCGGTGTCCTGCGTTTTAATTGCTCAATCTGGCACTTCGCCTTAGCACCCTTAACAATTATAATTTAGGCCTCCAAGTTCTTTTGTCGGTATGGGTTCTATGCATGAACACTGATGCATTCAAGCAGTCTTTTAAAAGCCTAACCTGTCAAGTACACA